GAGGCGTAACGGGATTCCTACAGGCCAATACTACAAGGTTTTCTACGAAAGCCGCACTCGCGTGTCGAGTAATCACGCCGTTTTCCTCGTAGAACAAAAGGAACAGCGGATTTTACGATCTACCTGCCGTAGGTAATAGATGTCACGCACGTGGTTTCGCAGTTTCACGGTTTCACAAACACTCAGCAGCTATCCCGCTTTCACTAAAAGGCTCAATTCCCCCTTTACGATTCGGGGAACTCATTTTCGCTACCTAAATTTCATTAAACTCCACCAAAAAAAAAATCTCAATGTCAACAGTTCGACACGTGGTGTTCATCGGGTTAAAAAAAAAAAGACGACAAAAACCGTCACTCAACCATCCAACACGTACATTCTTTTCCTCCGTTATGTAACACCAAAAATATTCTTGCTACAGACCGCGCTCAGGTTCCTTTTCTAGGTATATATACATACTATAACCACACGTGAACTTACACGATCCCCAAGACCGGAGTGAAAAAGAAATTCTTCCTCGAGTGGTTCACCTAATTTCTATCTCTCTCTCCCTCTCCCTCTCGAGTGGATTGTCGATAATTCGACCTTCGACAGAATGGGTGCAACAGCCTTCCTCTACGATGACGTCTATCGATATCACATTTGCACTTGGGGCACCGTATACAAATTAACCAGATCGATACCGTTCATTTTTCATCTCCGATATGAAATGTTGCTACCAAGCACGGGTAGGTAGAACACGTGGTCGTCGTGTGTAGCATGAGCGCGCTTAAGCCAAGCACGAGCGCGAGGCGCAAGAGAGTAACGTTAGCACTTGAACGTCGGAAACGAACTAAACGATACGGGCAACCGAATCGATTCCCGATCCATTGCCGCGGAAACGAGCCGCCGCAGTTGGAAGCTGCCGACACGAGTAGTTGCTCAGAGCGGAAATCGACGTACCGCGATCCCTTCGCGATATCTTTGCCAACATCGAACCGTGGTAGAACAGGCAAGAATATTCTCCATGCATCCCCGGCCTCGTGGCTTGTGTTCGGCGTGAGCACGTATTTCAGCGTGATACGTACGAATCGTACGTGACTGTTCGTTCGACTGATCGAGCGATCAGATATAATCGCACGAGTTGAGGTAATTACGTATGCGTTCGAAGGAGCAAGAAGAAAAAAGAAGCAGACGAAGAAGAAGAAGAAAAAGAAGGTGAGCTAGGGGCGAGTTGGCGTGTTCAATCGGCTGATCCGGAGAAATTCTTGGATCGGACTGGCGCGATCCGCTGCATGAAAGTGCCACCAGCCGCGTCAATTTGATGCACGTGAAACAGAGAGAAAGGTGGAGAAAAAGCGAGGAGGAGAGAATACGAGACGGGATGGTTGAAGATGTGAAATTGGTTGAAGGCAGGAAGAAGGCATTGCGTCAGACGGAGCGTGAGAAATCGCGTAAAAGGTCCGCACACGACTATCGACGCCAGGTGACGTGTGATTAGAATAAGGTCTTATCAGCGTGAGCGTGCACGAGGTACTGAACCACGGCACGGGGTATCCAATGCGGGCCCCTCTTTACCGTACAGAAGAGTGGAGGGACAGACAGGTGCTCCAGCTTCTGTCTGTCTGCCTGTCTGCCCGCCCGACGCGTTTATTCCATCGGTTAGGCCCCGTTCACACTCCCCGCACGATCTTATGCGATATCGAATGCGTTTGAATGATGCGTTTGAACATTGAATTACTAGTGCTGTGTCGGACACCGTTCGCGCGTCTCAGAAAACCGGAGCGGATCGGTGGAATATTCTTCGAGATATCCGAGCTTCTTTTTTAAGATAACATTAAGGGACGTTCAGACGATCGATATATTATGTTGATATTTCAGGGTTCTCGTCGATATATATCGATCTTCTGAGAGTCCCTTTACACGTACAATAACGTTGAGAATCTCGAAATATTGACAATTTATAATGAAGCATGAAATATTCAATATTGACAATATGTATTGATCGTCTGAACGCCCCTTTAGACACCACTTTTAAACTTTACTTATTTTCTTTGTGTAATGCATTCGATGGATTGAGATAGATCAGAGTGGAACGTTGGGCAATTTTTATTTTTGGAATGTTCAAATTGTTTCGAGGGGTAAAAATTTTAAATAATGTACTATCGTTTCATTGTCCTCGTTTAAGCTCTGTTCACACATTTAATATCTCTGAGATATCTTGTACGATATTAAACACGTTATGATATAGCGATGCCTTTGAAAGTCGAACTAGATGTAGGATACAATGTGTATGCGTGGTTGAACATCGAAGTGATCTATCAGAGTGCTGTTATAAATCAAGCTTAGTTTGTGTTTACTGTTAAATGCAATCTTGATGTGTTACTTTGTTTAAATGCTTTACTGTTCGAAAGATTTTCTTTGCTTGATTTTGTGCTTTAAAAGTTGAACGTGTGTTTTAACCTTATTGCTAAGTTTAACATTACCATGCATTTTATAATTTTTATTAAAATTCCTTCAACAGTTTTGATCCTTGTTTCTACAACAATATTCTCTTTTTCTTTGCAAGTATTGTTCGTTAGATAACATTTTGGTGTTCAAATTAGAACATTTTTATTCATAAATTCATACTATTTTACGTAAATTGTAATTTCCAATCAAGCTTCCGTTCAGTTAAATTAAACGAATAATTAGTTAATCTCCTATTTGAAAAGATAATAAATGAAAAACTGTGAAAAATATTTAAAACATCCAAAACGAAAATATGTACTTTATGCTATTTAATTTTTTATCAATTGGAAAGTACGTCCAATGTACTTTTATTACCAGTTACATCTGTAATTATAAACTAAAACTTCGATTTCAGCTTTACTCACAAATATTAACTTCACTGTATTTTTGTTTATATAAAACAATAAATAAAATCAACTTATTCTATTATTTTATTTTCCATCGCCTAATTAACAAAATAAGGTTTATTTCTAGGATGCTGATTTTTTTTCAATTAATTACTCGATAAGTCAATTAGGGAAAATACGTAAATTGAACTGAAGCATTCCTCGATATAAGACCCGATATGATTACACCTGTTCCTATGGCAGGTTTCCTCTTATTAAATGTAAATAACCGTCTGTTAGAGCTTGGTCAAATGCTTATTTTATTATTACCTCTCTATCACCTTCTTCAGGTGCATCACATTCAAGAATTTGAAAAATCTTACCAACGGATTCACTCATGCGAAAAATCGATGTAACATGTTAAGACGCGTGAACAGAAATAAAAAATACTAACTTTGATAAATATGCGATTAACCGATACGTGTCGCTACCAACGGATCATTGATTAAATATTTCACACTTTCTAATAAAAAAATCTATTTGGTATAAAAGATAAACGAACATCTTATTTTCATATTCTATATCGAATATGAAATTAAAATTAACTGGTAAACAGTCCCTTCGCGATTATTCTTGTTTGAACATTTTTTAATCGTAAAGATTCTGTTATTTGATAAGAAATGTGTACTTTTTACATACTTTTAATCATTTAATCATACTTTTAAGCATTTTGTGGCTTTACGTTTACAAGTAATATATTCTGTTGGTTTTAAACTTTACAGTTGGATACTGTGTACAAAACTGTGATAGTGACGTTAAATTTTATAGAATATTACGATGAAAATTTTCGCCTGTATGACTAAAATTGTTCATTTTAATAGAGATTAACAATCATAATGAACAAATAGTATTAATAATTAGAGCAACGTATTTCGTTCATATTTCTTATTCTTAATAATTAAAAACAAATTTCAATCTAAAATATTCAAGCAGATTTAATTTTATTGTTATTATTTAATGACCGTGAAATTTAGGCCAATAGAGTAAGTGAGAGTGTACGGCAAACTTCTGTTTGCACTTGTTTTTATAACATGTAATGTACCTTTTAACACTTTTTATGAAAGACAGTATTTTTTTATTTTCATTACTGATAAATAACAGCTTCTTAATTTCTAATAAATACTGTAAATAATTATTTTGGATGCATTCTTATTATCCGTTGCATATTGTATATTAATTGTAAAAAATTCTAAATGTTAAATTTATAAATATTGAATTTATCTTTAAATAACAGTAGAATAATTTTAATGCAAAAATTTCTTTTAACATTATTATTGGAGTAAACTTAAGATAATTTGTTTTTTGTTTGGTTTTGTAAAAAGCTATGTGCAATATATGTAATTTTTTTATTTACGGTTTGAATTGTAAAGTATGCTACTAGGGAAAATTTAGGGTAATATTACATGATACAAATAATTTATGTTAATAAAGAAAGTAGATACTAAATAATGATAATGGCTAATAATATATCGTGCATATATTACTATATGCAAGGCCGTTCTATTTTTTTTAAATAGTAATTAATCACCAACTAATAGTGAAATTTAAAATCACAATAGAAAGCAGCTGTGAGAATAACGCTGTAATACGCAAATTACACGTTACACATGTTCATCACGTGTATTTCAAATTTTATGTTTACTAATAATGTTTCGAACTTTAAAATTATAACATATACAATGAACAAATTAGTGTGAAGAACTATTATGAAGAAATTTATTTACTTTTATGTATATACTATGTGAATCATTTATAATCAAACATTTAATTGAGCTAAATATGAAGTATTCCTGGCATATACTCCAAAAGAGAATGATTATAAATTCTATATATAAATTAAATTTGTATTTAGATAATTATTTATTAAATGATGAATTGAATCTAATCATGTAGTGAATTGCTTTATTTATACATATGAAACTAGTCAAATTATTTAATTGAATTGAGTTGAAATGAAAAACTAGAAAAGTTTTTTGTATATTCTAAAATCATGAATGAATATTATATAGAAATGATTAAAAACTGTCATATATGTGATGATAATGAATCAATAATGAATTACAAAATTTTTTTAAATATTACTAGCCAATTTTAATACATAATATTCATGTAGAATATTATAACAAAATGCAATCTTTCAATAAATTACCATCATTTGGGGATGATACTTTATCTGCCTGTATTCAGGCTGAAGTAAAAAATATGGATATTAATAATGGTAGTAATATGGATGTGTACTTTCAAGATAGTACATTTCCTTCGAAGTTAACAACTAAGTCCAATGATATTGATAAAGTTAGTCGATCAAAACAAATATCACATACTTCAACTAATATTAAACCCAATTTAAATCGAAATAATTCAAAACATAAAGAATCTAGAATAAATAATATTTCAAAATCAAAACTTGCTACTAAAACTAGTATATCAAACAAATTAACAATTAAAAAAATTACTTCCATAAGAAAGAATTGTGACTTACTAAAAATTAACAAAGAAAATATTAATACTAGTGCCAATCATATAAAAACTGATACTTCTAATAAAAATACATTGTCGAAACAATGTAGTAAGTCTGAGTTGTCATCTTTACTTGCTAATAATAGCAGTGTTAAAAGTAATATTACAACAAATAATACAACCAATGTAAAACTGTGTAACAGTAGTATTGCTATAAGTAACACAGAAAAATCTTCAGAATCATGTTCTTCTATCTCTATTATACCAACTCAAGATCGGTACAAATTAGGTTCTTGGGGTTTACCACCAAACATTCTTCAGGTAATATAAAATGTTTTCTAATTTTAAGTACTTCGATTAAAAATTAATACTTATATATGTTACAGAAATATGTAGCACGTGGAATAACCAATATGTTTGCCTGGCAAGTAGAATGTTTATCAAAACATAAAGTTATTGAAGAAGTACGTAATTTAGTATATTCAGCTCCAACATCAGCTGGAAAAACTTTGGTAGCAGAGATTCTGATGATAAAAACAGTATTAGAAAGACGAAAGAAAGTGATTTTTATTTTGCCATTTGTCTCTGTTGTTAGAGAAAAAATGTACTATTTTCAAGTAAGATTTGTTTTACTCCAAAAAATATATAATTTAAAAATTTTAACATATTAATATGTCATCCTCACTGTTACAATTTTGTAGGATTTGTTATCTGATAGTGGTGTTCGAGTAGAAGGATTCACAGGTGGTGTTGTACCTCCTGGAGGATTTGCAGCAACTCATGTTGCAATAGCAACAATTGAAAAAGCAAATTCGTTAATAAATCGTCTAATGGAAGAAAATGAACTAGTCAATTTAGGAGCTGTAGTTATAGATGAATTACATCTTGTTGGTGATCCAAATCGCGGATACCTCCTTGAATTACTTTTAACGAAATTAAAATATATGACCTTTAGGTAATTGAAATGCATTTGTTTCCATTTTGGATTTGGAAAAGGTAGAAGATTATTGCAAATAGATACAGAAATTGACATTCTATTCTATTACAGGAATGAAAATATTAATATACAACTGATTGGTATGTCTGCTACGCTTCCAAACATATCTCTTTTAGCAAAGTGGTTAGATGCTGAACTGTATAAAACAGAATTCAGACCAATACCTTTAAATGAACAATGCAAGGTATTTTATAATATATAAAAACGTAATAAGTTTATAATTTAGAATTGGTAGTAAAAGCTTTTATATTTCTAGATAGGTAAAAATATTTATGATAGTAAATTACGTCTTATAAGAAGCTTAATCCCAATGCCAGAATTATCCATGGATTCAGATGATATTTTTCATTTATGTATTGAAACAATTTCGGATGGACATAGTGTACTAATTTTTTGTCCAACAAAAAATTGGTGTGAAAAACTAGCTGAACAAATAGCTGCCGCATTTTATAAATTAGGTTTGTTTAATCTCTTTAATTTTTAATTTCGAATTTAGTTTATAAGTATACAGTCAATATCTACTATAATTTAAAATTCATAATTATAAACATACATTTTTTTAGGTCAAGAAAATACGCAACTGGGTAAAACTTTAAGAGATCAACTAGATTCTGCATTAATTTCTGAAACATTAGAACAATTAAAACGTAGCCCCATAGGTTTAGATAATGTATTAAAAAATACAGTTTCATTTGGTGTAGCTTTTCATCATGCTGGTCTTACTATGGATGAACGCGATATTATAGAAGGCTCTTTCAGGTTTTTATTTTACACATATTTGTTATAAATATTTGAGAAAGAATTAAATAACTGTTAATTATGTTAGGTCTGGATCTTTAAGAGTTCTTATTGCAACATCAACCTTAAGTAGTGGAGTAAATTTACCTGCTAGAAGGGTAATTGTTAGATCTCCAATGTTTGGTGGTAGACTATTAGATAGTCTTACCTATAGACAAATGATAGGACGCGCTGGTAGAATGGGAAAAGATACAGCAGGTAAAATAAAATAATAGTATAAATTGTTTTAATTCTATGTGTACAAATGAAGTCAAACAAACTATTTTGTGATTTTCTAGGAGAAAGTATACTTATGTGTAAACCAAATGAACAAAAAGCAGCTGAAACATTATTATCAGCTTCTTTGAAACCGATTCACTCTTGTCTTGAAGATTCGGGACCTTTGATTCGAGCTCTTTTAGAGGCTATTGCTAGCGAGGTTGTATATACTCCTTCAGATCTTGAATTGTACACTAAGTGTACCCTAGTAAGTTTGAGTGAAGAACACGATTCAAATGATCCTGCGAATGAAGCAATTAAGTTTTTGATAGATAATGAATTTCTATTGTATGTATAGCAGTAAATATCATTCAGGAATTTTCACATTGGACAGTATTTTTACGTTTTCCGTAATGTAATATTATATAGATTACAAAAAACAGAAGAAGGTCACAGATGGGTAGCTACAGCTTTTGGGAAAGCATGTTTAGCAGCATCTATACCACCTAGAGATGGTTTGTTTCTACTTGAAGAACTTCAAAAAGCAAGACGATGCTTTGTCTTGGATACAGAATTACACGTCGTGTATCTAGTAACGCCGCTCAATTCTGGAAATCAAATTGGAGCTATTGATTGGATGACATTTCTAGAATTATGGAAGTTATTGTCAGAAAGTGAACGTAGAGTTGGGCAACTTGTTGGTGTAGAAGAACGATTTTTAACTTCAGCTATTAAAGGCATTGTGCGATCAGGAAAATCGGTAAATTATTTTGTAATACAATTAATAAGTAAATATATTTATTGAGTGTACGAATTAAATGGACCAAACTTCTATTTTCAGCTTAATATACATAGGAGATTTTATACTGCATTAGCTTTACACGATTTAGTACGTGAAGTTCCTCTTAACGCAGTTTGTAAGAAGTATGGTTGTTGTCGTGGAGTTCTTCAAACATTACAACAATCTGCTTCTACATTTGCTGGTAATGTACTTTATACTTTACATGAAAGTATGTCTAATAATATTACTATATTTAAAAATCATCTTTAGGAATGGTCACACAATTTTGTAAACAGTTAGGCTGGGACTGTATGGAATTACTAGTCTCACAATTTCAAACCAGATTACAATTCGGTGTCTGTAGAGAGTTATTAGATTTATTGCGCCTTCCAATGTTAAATGGATTACGCGCAAGAAGTCTTTACAAGCAAGGAATCACATCTGTAGCAGATTTAGCTATGGCTAACGAACTTGATGTTGAACGTGCGCTTTACAAAGCACTTCCTTTTGAAAGGTGTAACATAAAAATATTTTAATATTTTAATATGCAGGATGCACCAATAAAAATTACTACCTTGAATTTCTCAGGAACATAGTTCTTCTGAATAAAAATTATTTAATACAAAAAGGGTTATTATATGTTTATAATAGTTTTTTTGTAGGTCGAGTTGCTTAGAAAATATAATAGTAGTCACTCGTATGTTTTTTTTCACAATATATCATATTTTTATATTTATTTGCTGATAATAACTTTTAAAGTGAATATGAACAATTATAATACATAGTTAGTCTAGTTCATGAAAGTGTAATCACAAAATCACAAGTGATATTTCCTTGTTTTTGAACATTCTTCAACAAGCTTCATATCTCGCAAGCGATTTTTATTTAAAAAAAAAATCATAATGACCATATGATTTTATCGTTATGACCACAGATATTCAAGATAGAAATTTTTACAGTCACCCTTGTATATGTACAATTAGTAGTGACATAAAAAGGCATTAAAAGACATTGTGCTTATATTTTAGCGAAAAAGAATATGACGGTGAACACGAATCAGAAGCAGTAAAACGAAATAAAATGAGAACGGTGTTCGTTACTGGAAAAGATGGTCTAACAACTCACGAAGCTGCAATCATGTTAGTACATGAAGCCAGAGCATTAGTTCAGGTAGTTAATTACTGTATTGTTAATATTAGGTGTATTTAAATTATTTTTAAACTCAAAATTTTATATCTTAATTATAGAATGAACTAAGATTGCAAGATATGTCGTGGAAACAAAATGAACAATCTAGTGTTACAAACACATCTAATTCTGAAATAAGCTTACAAGTGCAGCGAAGCATACATCACAGTACGAAGCGTACAGCTGTACAAATAAAAGTTGAAACTACATCCAGTAATTTTGAAAATAAGATTAATTCAAATCAAAACGAAATTCTAAATGAACATGTAAAGAGTTCAGATTTAACAAGCCAAAGTATGAAAAAGAATATGAATTTCATTGATGAAAACCAAGGCAATTGTAAATCTTATGAAAATGAAAAATACAAAGTTAATACAAATGTTATAAAAAATTTTATAGATTCTAAATGTGATTTAGAAAACAATATGATAGAAGAAGGAAAGAACGACGATATTAAACTCACTGATCAATTATTACAAATAGATACTCTAGAATTATTGGATTCTCCAATAGAGAAACTTTCATTTGATTTCTTTGAAGATAGCAATCCTAAAATAATACATAAATCTCAGGAAATGCGAAATAGTGAATCATTAATAAATTGTAAAAGCAATAAAAAGAATCGCACTCAAAATTTTACAATTCAGCCTTCGTTAAACGATGTACAAAATGCTCCAAGTGTAAGTAATACATCTGTTAAGAAAATAAGAATTTCAAATGAAACAGATACTGTAATACCAACTTGCGTAAATACAATTACTCGTATATCCAGTTTCGAAAATGATATACAACCAACAGTTTCTAGAAGTCCTAGTCTATTCAATGATAGTTTGAAGCTTGATACACAAATTTGTAATGCTCTTGAACAAAATATTTTTGATTCTCTACATTTCTCCGAATTTGAAGATTCTAAATTATCTGAAGATAGAGTAGCAACAGAAAATAAAATAAACAGAAAATTGCAAGCCACACATAGTATTTGTAACGAAACGCAAACGAAGAAAGATATAACAGATAAAAATATAGATAGTACTTCTTTGAACTTTTCAACTTTACACGCAAAACATAATTCACTTTCCTGGAAAGATGATTCTTGGAATGAACCAAAAAAAATAACAGAGAAGTTAAATCAGATTCAAGATAAAAATAATGAAGATGTATTAGTTAAATGTAACATTAGGAACATAAAAAATACAAATGTACATCTTACAGAAACTGCTGAAGCAAGTAACTCTACGCCAAAAATGAGAAACAAATATGACACGAATCTCGAAAAGCCAATAAGTACTCCCGATAACTTAAAAAAAATTACACGAAAACGCGTATTCAAAGATATATCAGTTGTAAAATCACCCATGGCAAATGTCATTCTTTTTAGTAAAACTCGTGCAACCTCTTTAGATTCTAATAAATCAGATTCTGATGATATTGTTATTGCTTCCCAAAATGTGGATTCACCAGCTACAAGTATCAAAATACGAAATAAATTAAGTTATGAAAGAAAGCAAAGAATATGTACTCAAAAAATTCCAAAGCAAATGTCAGATGATGCAAAATATACAAATATTATTTCAAAACCAATACGAGATGAAGAATATAAAATTAAAGCAACATTAAAGAAAATATTTTTACAAAATGTTTTAACTAATAAAGATTGTAGTACAGATAGTGTAATCTCGAATTCAGATGAAGGTACACCTATAAAAACGGCAAATATTTTGCAGAAATCTAAAATTAGTTTAAAAAGAACTCAAACAAGTTCTAGGATGTGCTTACAAACTAATGAATTTGTAGGAAACATGGATGAAGAGGTTAATTGGAATACAATAAATATTATAAAAGTCGGAAGCGATAGGCCCACATTTAATTTATTCAAACGTGAAGTAATGCAGAAACGATACATTGCTCTAGCTTTAAATTGTGAATTGTATAATAATGAAACAAATAATATAGGCACTAAAATTATTGGTTCTATCAATACCGAAAGAAAAAAAAGGACTAAAAGAATTGAAAATTATGTACATGCAGATAAAAAATTATGTGGTGTTGCTATTTCCTGGGAAAACAATATTGCATACTATATTTCCTTCTCAAATGAACAAGGTATTAAAAATTACACTTATATCAACTTAATATTTTGATAGGTTTTAAAGCGGTATATTTTCAGATTTAAAAATCCCAGCTAAGGAACAAATGAAGCTATTAAAAGACTTGCTTTCTAATACACTTTTATATGTACAATGTTTTGCAACTAAAGAAATCTTTAAAAGCTTGTATGAATGTTGTGGTATTATTGCAAATTGTAAATTTTTGGACCCCAAAACAGCAAGCTGGTTATATGATGGGAACACATATGAAAAAACTTTTAATGAAATGGTAAGTAATATATATGTATTTGTAGCATTATATATCATTTTAAAAGACGTTTAAATCATAAATAGGTGAAGGAACATTTTCCACAAGGTTGCTTTATAACTAAAAGAATAGGTGCATGTTATGATATAGGACCTGGTTTGAATATCAAAAGTACAGTTCCAGGAGAATTTAGAGCATCTACAGAAACAGTACTTACATGGCACATTACAGACTCACTTTTAAATAAGCTAGAGCAATTAAGTCCAACATTACTGTACACGTTTAAAGGTAATAGATATTATTAGTGTATGTTTTACTGTTAATGTGTTACAGTCTTTTGTCTATCTTAAGGAAATTTTAAAAATATTTTTAGAGATTGAAATGAAAACAGTGACCTTATTAGCTTGTATGGAATTAACTGGCTTAGGTGTATCTTTAAAATCATTACAAGATTTGTCTTCTGCTATCCGCGCAGAAATGACATCGTTAGAAGAACGGGCTTATGCATTAAGTGCTAAAAGATTTAAGTTTTCTTCATCTAAAGAGGTTGCAGAGGTTTGTAAATATACTATCAAAATAAACTATTAGTTATATAATTATTTGAATGTAATTTTAAAATTTTGATCCTACAGATTTTAGGTCTATATAAAAAGAAGAAAATCAGTATTAATAAAGCAATATTGGGGAATAGTGATCATCCCATATCTAATCTTGTTATGTCCTGGCGTAAATTAAATGCAACTCAGTCTAAAGTATGTACAATATTAACAGTGAAACTTAAAAAATTAAGATTTTTGTTTAATAAAATACATACATAATATAATTAAGTAATCTAGAATGATGTAGGTGAAAATTTCACAAAACTAAATTTTTAGATTGTCTATCCAATATTGAATATGGCTCAACATAGTTCTCGTATTCGCGGTAATTGTGTAACATGTACATTAACTGGTAGAATTTCAATGCATGAACCAAATTTACAAAATGTACCAAGGGATTTTAGTTCCGAAGATAATAGTTTTACTATAAGTGTCCGAATGGCATTTATACCAGCCATAGGTAACGTTATACTGTCCGCAGACTATTGTCAGCTTGAATTAAGAATATTAGCTCATTTTTCAAAAGATGCTACACTGTGTGACATTATGCGGAAACCAGGTGATATTTTTAAAAGCATTGCCGCAAGTTGGAATCATGTATCTGAAGATCAGGTACATAAAATATTCAAAAAACAATTTATTGCTAAAAATAAATATAAATCATTTTAATACTATTTCTACAAAAGGTTGATGATAAAATGCGTCAATATACAAAACAATTATGTTACGGAATGATTTATGGTATGGGACTGAAAACACTAGCTGAAAGCTTGTCAGTGGACGAAGTTAAAGCCAAAGAATTTTTGGAATCTTTTATGAATGCATATCCAAGTATATCAAAGTGGTTGAATAATGTACTACAAGACGCACGTACAAATGGATATGTAACAACTATTTTGGACAGACGTAGAATGTTTCCTGGATTGACAAGTACAATCCCAGCAGAAAAATGTAGACTTTTATTACTATATTTTAATTTTTATAATAAACCTTTTGAGCATTTATAAATGAGTTATTATGACTTTTTATTGGATAGCGCAAGCCGAACGTCAAGCAGTAAATACTACAATTCAAGGGTCTGCAGCTGATATTGCCAAAAAAGCAATGGTAAATATAGAAGAAAGAATACGATTCGAATTTCCAACTTCAGCAGCCATTATGTCTACTGTTAATTCCACTCGTAAATTAAGAAGCAATAGCAGAGAAGCACAACAAAGGGGTGGTTATTTAATATTACAACTTCATGATGAACTTTTGTATGAGGTAGTATTCAACAAAATTTGACATTCTAAAATTATAAAAATTTTATTAAATTTCTAATTTAAATAATTTTTCGTTTTCCAAAAAATAATATTTGTCCTACATTTTTCCTTTTTAGGTAAATATAAAAGACTTAAGACAAATTGCAACAATAGTAAAAGAATCAATGGAGCAAGTATGTCAACTTGCTGTACCATTAACTGTAAAACTTAAGGTAGGACCAGCATGGGGGGATCTTTCTGAATATAATTTATAATGTTAACCTATTCAGTTTTACTATAAGCATGACGCTGATAAACATATTTTTTATTTATATACACTTTTAAATATTAATCTTCAATTAATCAAGTTTCAACTTTTTACTAAGTAAAATAATATGTATCATAATATTTAATCCATAATGTTGTGCTATTGCATGCATTTACAATGATATAAATTGTATATATTTATATTATTTTTGATTGTACTTTCCATATTAGCATGTGAAATAATGAATTATATATTTAAATCATGTCAATAATTTATATGGTTATATGCCGAAAAATGAAATAAAAATTGTTATTGTAAAAATCTTATGTATAAGCTTTACATGTAAGCAAACATAATAAATAATGTGATTTTTATTAAGTATTTAGAATCGTTCAATGAATTCTAATTATTATTGTTTTTATAAAAATGCACAAGTGATTGTATTGTATATTACCATTAAATTGTACAATATATAAAAGTCTTTGCTGTTCAATATTTTCTATTAATACACATAATAATTCTATCAGTATTATATTCTGTGTAATAAAAAGATATTTCTTAAATTGTATCACAGGGAGGTGCAAGTGATTGATGCAATTTTGTTACTGCTGTTTGTACTATTTGCTGAAAAGTTTCATCTTCTTTACTTGTTACTTCTAAATTCAATAAATCTATGTGTGCTTTCTTTCCATCAACTGTTACATATAATTTTTCTCCTTTAAAGATTTTAGGAACAGAATCTTCACCAAACATTTCTTGAAGCATCTCTATCAAGCATTCTTTAAAATGCATCCGGTCCATTTTTGTGGGTGCAGGTAACACTTTGGGTGTTTGTTCCATCATTTCAGCTTGTAATATTGCAGTCAAAACAGAATCTGCATACATATCATTCACAGGTGTTGCAATCCACTCCATAGTAACAATTTTTCCATCAATTGTGACATCAATATTTTTAAAGATACGCAATTTCTTATCATCTACAACCTCCAAATTTCCAGCTATTTGAGTTAAAAGATGTTTTAATACTGGTAATGATGCTGAGAAGTATACACTCTGTCTTTGAATGACTTGACTCATACTCATATCTGTATATTTTGATAAGTCACATGGTGCAAGCATATGATAATTGAAATTTCGTTTAACCAAAACTCCAGATAATGTTTGTCCAGGTTTTGGTGTATCCATTGCTAATGTACCCATTACTTTAGCTGTTTTTTCTCCTCTAAAGTATAGTTCTACAGCAACTGTATTTCTAGGATTATGTATTTCCATTGTTGTATTGGGATCATCTTCATATTCTCTTTGCAAAGCAGCTTTTAATCTTCCCATTTCATTTTGTTCTCCATGCACAAGTACAACATGTGGTGGTTTTAAAATACGTATAAATTCTGAAGTCTGTTGATAGTCTGTATGTGCTGAAAATGATATGTAGTCAACAGACATTTTCAGAGGCAACTTTTGTCCAGACATAGTTGTAATTTCTTCAGGTTCAGATAAAATAGTCTTTGCCAATGTTCCTTCTACACAATAACCAGCAATTATAACTCCATTTTTTGCATCTGTACACCAAGATTCAAATAATTCTCTTGATAAACCACTTTGCATCATTCCAGGAGAAGCCATTACTACACATGGCCCAATATCTTCAAAGTGATCAATTCCTTTTAAATTGGAAATATGTTTAAATACAAAAGGATTGTTAATAGCTATTTGCCTTCTAATTTTATCATTCATTGCATTTACATAGGTTTGATACACAGCCATACACTTCTTTGCTAAAGAAGAAGCATAATATATGGGAATTTCATGAAGTTCAGGATGTTGACTCCAATATTCATCTAAAATGAGGAGAAGTTCTTGTGCTCTACCTAATGCAAACACAGGTATTAAGCATCTCCCACCTCGATTAACAATTTCATGAACTAGATTTGTAAATCTTCCTTCACGGTCTTCCCTTTTTTCATGTATATGTGTACCATAGGTAGATTCAGTAATTAAAACATCTGGATGAATATTTGGAATTTCAGCAGCCATTAAATGTCTATCTTCTTGCCGACTAAAATCTCCTGTATATAAAATTTTAACACCGGCTATTTCTATCATAAACATAGCAGCACCTAATACATGACCAGCATTGTATGCCCAAAATTTTATTCCAAACACATCTTTTTCTTCATGAAAGTTAATAGTTTCTATTTTATCCATACTAGTTTCTAGATCAGATTCAGTGTACAACATTTGTTCTGTTGCAATGTTGCTTACTTTAATATAATCAGACAAGAGCCAACGATAAATAGCTTTAGTAGCATGAGTCATAAAACATCGTCCTTTGAAACTAGTTTTTTGTAGAAACCATGGTAAAGCTCCACAGTGGTCCAAATGAAAATGGGAAATCAATAGTAAATCAATTTCATCTGCTTCTACTAAGTCCACAAAAGGTAATGCATCCATACCAGACAATCCAGGATGAATACCACAATCTAACATAATCTTTTTTCCTTTGAATTCTAACATAATACATGATCTACCTACTTCTTGACCAGCACCAAGTGGCCTAATCGATAATAAGTCACTTTCTTCAGCTGGCACTTGTGTTTCTGGTTTTCTTTTTGCAGACATTTTTATAAACTTGTAATTGTCATATAACAATACAAAAATAAATCAAAATTATGTTCTCACAGTCCCATGTTATTTATTCATAAATTATACTTTCACGTGTAATTTTGCATAATTATATTATATAGAGCGATATGCATAATTTCTTGTGTTTATAAATATTGCATGAACATATCTTATCACTGCACCATAAAGAATAAATGAATCTTCAATAACTATACGCTACATAATATGCACTATAGTGGAGGTTAGAAAATTGTTCTCCACATACTATAATACAAATGTATGAAAAATATTTATAACACAGTTAAATAATATATATTAATTTTCGCCTTTGTCATTTTTGTTTTATGAACAAAAAACCGCTTTAATATTTAATTAAATAACAATTTATCACGACTTTTTGAACGTAACCTATGTTATTGTACATGGACAGAGAAATGCTACACACAGCTTTGAGCTCTACACTATGCATGTGGAAGCGTGAGTACAAG